TTTACATAAATATATATGTTACTCTGAATGACGATTTGCCAAAAAGAGAGATAATATTGCCATTGTTCCCATAACTGAAATGTTTTTAGTATTAGTCCGGTCATTAAATTAGTTTTAAAGATATTCCTGAGTAAATGACTGCAGAAGCAGATGTTGAAATATAATAAGCATTTTATTCTACTGTTCTGATGCGCCCCTGCCATGCTTGCTTAGCTTGTCTCTGATTCTGACTTGCACTGCCCCAGAATTGTTGCAGCCATATTGATAAATACTTTCTATTCTAAACATACTTAGGTTTGCCAATATAAATGTCATTATCAGGAGGAGTGTCTGGGGTGGAGAATCCCCTCAGTGACCTCTCTTGAACTTGTGACATACTGTAGTGAGGGGGGAGTCTCTGTTCAGAAATACTGGCAAGCTATTGTTCTGACAATTGAAATCCTCAATACCTTTCTCTTTTCCTTGCTAAAGGCACATTCACACCAAGTACGATAACTATAATAATAACGATAAAGATATAGTAAAAAAAAATTTTTTTTACAGCTGATGAATAATAAAAGCATTTACAACCAATCAAAATCCACTCCATTTTAAAGAGCTCGAGCATTTCTTAGATCAAACAGTGCTTTTTGTTTTGTTTTATTGTTCATTGGTGTGGAGGCTAGCATAGTTATGGTTATAGTTATCTTTATAGTTATTGTTCTTGGTGTCAACAGGTTTTAAGAGTGCCACCCAAGCTACTGGGTCCGCACTTATTTTATTAGCTTTTTTGGCTTTTTACAGTGCCTAGCAGCTCTCTCTGTTTGTGGGCATTTAAAATTATTAAATTAATCAATACAAAAATACATTCAAAAATTAATATTTATTAAGTTTAACACATATTTGTCAATGTTAAACATTCCCCATGTATCGAATCAAAACGAATCAACATACTTAATATGTAATATGTAATATGAATAAGATGCTAATATGAATAAGATGCTAAAATTGTTATTTATACATTGATTCTGACATTCAGTGTAATGGATGACACTGTGGTGTAACAGAGAATTTGCATTACACAACATGACAAAAACATTACCCTGAATGACGCAACTTCTACTTCAGCTTATATTGCAGGCAATCAACTGGCCACCTGTGTCAAACAGTGAGTTTGGCCATTAAAGCTAATCACAATTATTTACAAATCTCCTAATTAAAAAAATAAAAAACTAACAATAAAAGTGTTTTTCGGCATTTCACTGAATTACATGTGTTTTTGTAACTGCAGATAACACACCATAAAAAGGTGGAATTATCAAATATTTAAGAGCAATAAATTCACTTTTCTGCAGCACCACATGGTCATCAGGGTGCCATCTTATGATGTCACAGACTGCTGAATGACTATCAGTTTTTTTATATGATTTCAGAATGGCTTCTTGTTTCTATTATCTCTGACAAACTGCATTTTCGGGACAAAAGTCCCCTGGTTATTTCATAACTTAAAAAAAAAACAAGAAGACATAGACCTTTTAATATAACACAGAAAATGCCAAGACAACCAATGTATTTTTTAACTTGGTATTTTATATGTTTATTTAAAGATGTAATGGTAAAATCAAAGTCTTTACCATTACACTGAATTACATTATTCACTTTGGAACATTATTTCCCCCATATTTTGACATTTTATTTTCACCAAACTTATTTGAAATATGAAAGTAGACCCTTTACTTGCATTTAACATGTCTTTTTATGTATATAAAAGTACTTTTGTAAACTTAATTTGTTGCGGACACTGTCGTCTCGTCTTTGATCCACATGCTACTAAATGGATCCATTCAGAATAACCAAAACCACTAACCAGTGGATAATCTAAAGCACCTTCAGCTGGCATTCATTATAAAACACTCCTGCTTTTAAGCCAAATACACTCTGAAAATAATCATTTATTGCCATCTGGACACGAGTCACCGCCATCTCTGATGAAATCGTCTGTGTTTTCTTTGCATTAGCGCTGTAACTTATTACTTATTACTAATGCATTCCCTTTCTGGATCCTTGAACTTTCCAGAAGTTTACCGGTTTCAAATGACCTCCTGGGTAGTCTGCTTTATAGTGTCATTTCTAATCACCCAGACAGCTGTTTCATTTCTGTCGTTTTGTTCAAAGCTGTTAAACTGTTGTAATATAACAGCTCAGGTTTAAAATATCATGTAAAGAAAGCAAAACCTAAATAGCATTTTATTTTTATCTGACCGCATGGTTACATGAGGAATACGTTCTTAACTTACCACAAAACATTAGCAGGTTTAGCCTCGGAATGGCATCTCTTCTTTTACTTTTCTTCCTCTTGTTTAATGGCGAATAACTCTTTAGGAGCGTTATTGCTTTTACTTTCATTTCGAGTCACCTGGTCAAGTTGAGTCTTGAAAAACAACCATACTTCCTCTAGTGGCATAGAACATCATCACATTCTGAGCTGAGTTGTAATTTAGGCTGCTTTAGGAGAGGCCTCTGCATGAAATCTAAACTCGACACATGAACATCAGGAAAGTGTTATGTGGTTTAATAAGGTCAAATAGCTTTTGCTGTCATTTTAATGAAATATCATGTGTAATATGACAACATGGGTAGTACATTGCATGAGGCAGAGGAAAAACATGTTAAAAATAAAGGTATAGTTATTGCCTACCAAAATAAAATGGTAGGCAATAACTATCACAATATGCTTCTTCAATATGTTGTGAGGCAGGACTAACCCACAACCCTATATTCAACAGGGATTGCCCACACCACAAAGCCCTGTTTAACGTTCAGCTATTAAGTCTTGTTTGTGTGTTTTTCATTGCATTCATGTTCCCGTGTGTCCTTCATGTGTGTCAGTTGTCTCTCGGGGCAGGGACAGGGACAGACTCCAGCCGTGTCCCTCAGAGAGATGACTGTCCTGGACACACAGACTCACAGAGACCCCCGTCCATCAGCAGAGACTCCAATGAGAGAGGAACTAATGAAGATGAAGAATGAAAACAGACTGAGAGATGAGAGGATTATATAGAAAGACAGATGTAATGGAGGAGAGCAGACAGTGTGTGAGAATGGATAAGTAATATAAATTCATATTTTATCAATTATTTTGGGGAAAATTAAATAAAATATCAAGAATGCCAACAAAACAAAATAAAACATATAAACTGCAATATTTTATTTATATACTTATTTAGCTTTTTTTTTCAAGACATAGAAGAAAATAATGTTAAGCAGAGTGAGCCACAAAAAGACTTCACAATAAAATATTTTCTGGAATACATTATAATAGTGTTGCACATGATTATCTCATTTATATGACGATCATATCAATAATTACATTATTTTATCTTCAAGCTGTACTAAACAGGGAGGAAAAACTTTGACCTTACAATTCCTGACAATCCAGCAAAAAAAACAACAACTGCATTCTCTGAAAATGTGACTGACATCTACAGTAGTTTTTATAAGATTATAACAAATTAAGAGTTTGGTTACCTCACATGAATTACCATCATATTTCCTATCTGAAGGAGAGATTAAGAAACATTGGTCTGTGATGAACTGCTCATTACGAATGTAGTTCTACAGTACTGCATGCAGCTTTACAAAATATGACGTGTCCAGCAATACCTTCATGAAACCATTGTGCACTGTATGTAGAATTTGTTTGATTCTGTCTTTTTGTAAGAAAATATAATTAAAAAATATTATGCCTATGGAAACCTGGAGCTTTATTTCTCACAATTGTGGCTTAGTGTTACAATGTGACAATAAATGATTTACTTTATTTTTTTGCAATTGCCATTATGTATCAGTGTTGGGGAAGCTACTCTGAATCTGAAGCTTGACCAGCTACAAGCTACTCGTAATTAAAGTTGTTAAGCTACATTCAAGCTACCCTTCTGAAAAAGTAGCTAGCTACACTACAAGTTACTATCAAAAAGTAGCTAGCTACACTACAAGTTACTATCAAAAAGTAGCTAGCTACTTTGAAACTACTTTCAATTTTATTATTATTATTCTTTTTACAATTAACATGACAAATATCTAAATAATTATCAATGAAGAATTATAATAAAGTTATAAGTAAAATATTTGGGGTTTAAAACAACATACTGTAATGCAATCATGATTTCAAAGAGTATGGTGAATTCAGGTTGATTGGGATACTTTTCCAAGCCATTTCAATGACAAAAAGTGTCCCAATCAATTGATTTAGTAAACTATCCCATACACACAATAATACAATAGGCTATTGTATAATTATATAGTTATATTTACTGACTGCGAATAGAGACGTCAATCATCAGCTGCACGTGTGAACATTGTGCTTTGCGTGAATCCCGCCGCAACTATCCTTTGCCAAACGATAAGCACTATATCGCGATTTTATTTTCTGTTTCATTAGTGTTCATTAAAAAACTGTGGGGCACAGATTATATTATGACCGTTCATCATTGTAAAATAGACTTTTGATCTAGAGTGCAATAAAGAAGAAAAATTAATCCGTTTAAAAAGGCTATTATTCACCTCCTGAATGTGCTTTAAGTCTTCGACGTAGACCGCATTTTAATCTTTGTTATGCATAAATTATAGTTGATTCATGTGAAATATCTCTGAAAATCAAATGACCTATGCGTTCGCTGATCCAATGCATTACAGGCTAGTGGCTCGTCAGAACGCAAAACGTAATGTAGCGTTTGGTTGCTCTACACCGCTACTTGCTGGAAAAAGTAGTTACCTACAGGTAAAGCTACACTGTTTTAAAAGTAGCGTCGCTACTGTAAAGCTACTGAAAAATGTAGTTACGGTAGTAGCGTCACTACACTGTAAATAATTTTAAGCCAGCACAACAAAACCAGTCATTTAAACTTTTTTCAAGTTGGGTTTTTTACAATGTACTTGTAGCTAGCTACTCCCCAACACTGCTATTTATTAAAGTCACGATAGTGAGAATGTAAGTCATATATTTAAACATTTAGTGGCATTGCCTTTTATTATTATTTATTTTCCTCTGAGACAGAAATGGCCTTGCAGAGATGCCTCTGTAGTTCCTCACAGGATGCTGTTAAATCTGACACAGAGACACTGAGGAATTATGATAAACTCCAAATCCAGCACAGAGGGGTTCAGTGAATGTGGTGTTGAATGTGTGTAAGTGTGTGAGGGTGTGTTTGTCAGAGACGCAGTAGAAGGACAGAGTGCCGACCGACATGTCCAGATACACTCCTACTCTATTAGAGGATGAAGGGCGAGGAATGTCAGTGCTCTTATTATTGTGCCAAGCAGTATAAATTGTATCACAACAGTAAACACTCCATGACTTTTCATTGAGTCCAAACCGACAGTCGCTCCCACCTTTCCTGTTGATTCCTTTATATGTCACGGCTATATGACCCCAGCCTTTCAAATCAGCCTCCCAGTAACAGCGTCCAGTCAGACTCTCTCCACACAGAACCTGCTCATAGTTCTCAAATCTCTCTGGATGATCAGGATACGGCTGATGATCTTTCACACATGTTGTTTTTTTGTTCTCCTCAGACAGGATGAGTTGAGTGTGTGCTGTGTTTGGATCCAGTGTGAGATGACAAGCATCTGAACACAGAAAGACTGATTAGAGCATCAATGACATCATTAAATATGCATTAGTGTGTTTGTGAGAACTTACATTTTCTCAGTCCTGGTCTGACCCTGAGATCTCCCCCATGGTCCAAACTGAACAGAGAAAAAAATAAATAAATTAATAAAAAAATTGTTTTATAGTCAATGGACTGATAAATAATTCCTTAAAAAAACTTGTTTGCAGATTATATATTACATGGCAGACTGCAACAAAGTGTTAATAGAGTATACTGTGATTTGTGATAGCATTTAACCCTCTTAGCATTATGCTGTTTTATATGTTAGTAGTCTGCCGTTCAGTGTAACATATTATTCCATATCAAAGGAAAAATAAAAATTGGTAATTTTGCATATAATTGTAATTATTAACACCATGATATTTAATAAAATCCATCTTGATATTGATAAGTGTCATCTACTTTTACACTACCAAAACAATGATATATATATCATTGTTTTGATATATATATATCATTTTTGGTGTTTAAAAACCAAACATGTTCTTAAACGATGTGTCAGCATTGCTCCACATACTTGAGTATCTGCAGTTTATAGTTTGGACCCTCCAGTTTGTGGTTGAGCAGCTGGACTCCTGATGGTCCTGAGTGATTGTAGCTCAGATCCAGCTCTCTCAGGTGTGAGGGGTTTGAACTCAGAGCTGAAGACAAATGACCACAGCCTTCCTCTGTCACCATACAGCCAGACAACCTACAGACACACACAGTCAGATAAACTACAGACACACAGTCAGATCATCTACAGACACACACAGTCAGATAAACTACAGACACACAGTCAGATCATCTACAGACACACAGTCAGATCATCTACATACACACAGTCAGATCATCCACAGACACACACAGTCAGATCATCTACAGACACACACACAGTCAGATCATCTACAGACACACACAATCAGATCATATACAGACACACACAGTCAGATCATATACAGACACACACAGTCAGATCATCTACAGATACACACAGATCATCTACAGACACACAGTCAGATCAACTACAGACACACAGTCAGATCATCTACAGACACACACAGTCAGATTATCTACAGACACACACAGTCAGATCATCTTCAGACACAGAGTCAGATCATCTACACACACAGTCAGATCATCTACACACACATAGTCAGATCTTCTACACACACACAATCAGATCATCTACAGACACACACAGTCAGATCATCTACAGACACACAGTCAGATCATCTACACACACAGTCAGATCTTCTACATACACACACACACACACACACAGTCAGATCATCTACACACACAGTCAGACCATCCACACACACACACACACACACACACACACATACACACATACACACACACACAGGCAGATCTTCTACACACACACACACACACACACACACAAATCAGATCATCTACAGACACACACAGTCAGATCATCTACAGACGCACACAGTCAGATCATCTACAGACACACACAGACAGATCAACTACAGACACACACAGTCAGATCATCTACAGACACACACAGTCAGATCATCTACAGACACACACACACAGATAATCTACAGACACACACCATTAGATCATCTACAGACACACAGAGTCAGATCATCTACAGACACACTCAGTCAGATCATCTACAGACACACACAGATCATCTACAGACACACACAAACAGATCATCTACAGACACACACAGATCATCTACAGAAACACACAATCAGATCATCTACAGACACACAGAGTCAGATCATCTACAGACACAC